GGCTGCATAGTGGAGGGGGCTTGGGGGGAGGGATCACATAACAATGAAAGAGTTTTTTTCTTTTTCTTTTCAAGAAGAGTTAATTGGGGGTAGGGTGGTAGGCAGGGAGAAAAGTACAACAATGAATGACTGGAAACCCTAAGTCTTTGTAAACTTTCATTTAAATTATTTAAAAAAGTAAAAAAAAAAAAATAGAATGCTGTCTTTGCCTGAATGATGGATAAAAAGCTTGGTTTTCTTATCTGTGGAGACCCTTTCAACATTCCAGATTTTAGACATTTGGCACAATCTAAGCTTGGCTTTTCCACCAGAGATTATGGGCTTTCAGCTGTCTGATAGAATTATTAAAAGAATATGATAGTGAAGTATAAAGACCGCAGGGAGGCTCTAAGAAAATAGAAAGAATGCATATATGTTCACCATTGGGGTTATAATTATTTGTAAATGCAGAAGGAAATGGATTTTTGATCCTTTATTATTGTTTGTAATCTGAAACTTATTTGTCTAAGTCCTTTGAGAGCTATAATTCTAGAAGCACATTGCTGCATGAGGTGCTGGAAGCTCTGATACTCCTGGGTCTTGTGGCTCTAGGTTTTCATCCTGCAGCTGGAAGGAGAGAAACACTGGCGCCTCTATCGTCCAACCGTGCCCCTGGCTCGAGAGTATAGTGTGGAGGCCGAGGACAAAATTGGGAAGCCAACACATGAGTTCACATTGAAGGTACGTGTTTTAGTTGCTTAGAGCTGCTGCAAAAGCAATAATACAAGTGTGAGTGGCTTTGATGAGGGATTTACTTCCTCATCACTTTAAAAGTCTAAATTCAGTCTACGTCAGTGTTTCAAAGGGAAGACTTTTTGTGCTGGCTCTAGGGGAGGTCCTGAACTCTCTTCAGTTTCTGTTCTTGTGCTTCTTGGCTATCTTCAAATGGCATGACATCTGTCTTCTTCCATCTGGACTTCTTGTTTCTGTGGCTGATTGCCTTTTTTTATACTTCAAAAGTGATTCCTTTAGAATGATCAACCATATAAGATATGAATGGCAGCATTTGCCCACAGTTAGAGTTTAGAAGGGGGAAAAGGATAGGAAAAAAGGAAGAATGGAAATGAGAAACATAAAGAGGAACTAGAAAGATTCCTGTTACAGTATAGGAATTATAGTCAATATCCCAACATGTAATGTTTAGGAGTTGTTGAATAGAAAACCAGCATGCTTGGAAAACTTTAGTACAAATCCCAAGAAAAACGTTTGTTTTTTTTGTTTTGTTTTGTTTTTTAGAATGATTGGTTTTAATCACTCCCTACACTGAGATGTTTTACATAGGGTTTTCAGAGGCCTGCTATTTTGGAAGTGGATGGCCAGTCCTACTTCCTAGTGTGTCTTAATCTGAATGTTCAGATTTAGAGAAGTATCCAACAGATAAGCATTTTACAGAAAAAGTGAAAATATATCCCTTATTGTGGAATTAACCATTAGTTTTGGTGTTGTCCCTTCCCTTGGCACAACTGTCCTGACCCACTTATTTCTTTGCTCCACCGTCCATCAAGATACGCCTCCACTTCTACCCACTCCCCTCAACATCTATCTCCCATTGTCTAGCCCTTGATCTGATAGCTTATATCTTGAACCAAGAGGCAGTCATCAGAACAGAGCAAGGAAGCACTGCATGGTTCAAAATTGGGAAGGC